CCACATTCCATGGCCTGGAGGCCTCCAAGACAATGGTGGAGTACTGATCTGAAGACAGTGTTGAGAGAAATGATGCTGCCAAACTGGTTCTTCAGGAACAGGAACAGCTGGGCAGGAACTTCCTACCTGTGTGACTTGCTCTAGAAGTACTTGCGTTGCTCCAGGGCTGTATCTTAACAATTATAGTAGAAGACCATGGACATAGATATCACAGATATAGAGCTGCTCCTGGATCTGGGGGTTGAGAGTGGCCTTCCAGTTGGGGTGATAATTTATTAATACCTGTGAGGGGGCAGCAACATAGTGAGCAAGGCAAGCTAAAGGAGCTTCAGTATGTGGACAGGGGAGCAGCTAGACTAGAACCCTGGATATAACCCCAGAAGGGCCAAGCAGATAGCTGTAGAAGGTAGTGTTCTAGCTGAGGTGAGAATGAAGAAAGTCTAAGGTAACACCAGAGATGGGCAGTGGTGGCTGGTTGACCTCTAGGTCAACAGTTCGGGTTTCAGGGGGTGGGGCATGACTGCTGATTTCCATAGCAACCTGGAAGTAATTCTGCACTGAGTGTTTGACCTATATAATAGTTAAAAAATAATTTATGATGCCTGTGAGATAGCTCACTTGGTAAAGGGATGTGCCATCAAGTGTGAATTTGATCCCTGGGACCCACATGGTAGAAGGAGAGAACTTTTGCTAGTTGTTCTCCACAAGTACGCAGCCCCACATAGACAAACACATGCACATACGACTAGAGAACAAATAAAAATGTAATAAAAACCTTTTAAAAAAAGTAATTTATGCATCAACTGTAAAGTTTTTGAGTAAATCATCAGGATGCTTTTTTTGAGGTTTGTTTGAAAACTGTCTAAATGTTGCTTTAGTAAATGCCATGCTTTCATTGTGTCCTTGGCTGTATTTAATATCGCAAAGCTTTATTTGAACAGCAGCTCTCTTCAATGATTTCAATTTGTATTCTAATGAGCTCTCTGAGCAAGGAGTCAATGGATCAGAATGAGGCCTGAGTTCTATTACCAATCCATGTGACTCTGTTGATTTTCTGACTTACATAATATCTTAAAATATTGCTCAAGAATATAAGTGCACTGGTTTGAGTAAGAAGTATCCCTGAGGGGCTAGAGAGATAGCTTAGTGGTTAAGAGCACTGGCTGTTCCTGCAGAAGACCCAGGTTTGAATCCCAGCACCCACATTGTAGCTAACATCCAACTTGGTTACTAACATCAGTTCTAGAGTGTCCAACACCTTCTGTCCTCCTCAGGTATTGCATGACATAGGTGCACTTACATACATGCAGTTAATACATGCATACACATAAATAAAAATAATAAATAATATACAAACAAAAAAGAAGCGTACCAGATAGACTCAAGCATTGGAACCATTAGTCAGTTGGTGGTGCTATTTAGGGAGTGTCATGGATCTTTAGGAGGTATGGCCTAGCTGGAGGAAGCACAACACTGGGGGCAGACTTTAATCATTCATAGCCTTGCCTCGCTTCCAGTTTGGTCTCTTTGCTTCCTGTGCATGCTTGAGGAAGAGTGCTAACCCTTCTGTTCCAGCTACCTCTGCTGCTATGCCTCCCCACATGATAGACCCTTATTCCTCCAGAGCAGTAAGCCCAAACAAATTCTTCCTTCTATAAGTTGCCTAGGTCATAGTGTTTTATCATAGCAACAAAAAAGTAAGAAGTGAATACAACAAGTGAATGAGTTTTAGTGAATGACCTGGCTAAGATCTTTGACAGGAAACAAAATTTGGGTGCATTCCTACAAATATAAATAATCAGCTGGGCATCATGGCACATGCCTTTGATCTCAGTACTCGGGAGGCAGAGGCAGGTGGCTGGTCTACATAGTGAGTTCTAGGCTAGTTGGGGTTACAGGTAGACCTGGTCTCAAAAGACCAAAAAAAAAATATATATATAGTTAATTCCAGCACTTGGGAGGCAGAGGCAGGCAGATCTCTGTAGAGTTCAAGGCCAATTTGGCCTGCATAGTAAGTTTCAAGTTAGTTGGGGTTACAGGGAAATCCTGTCTCAAAAAGACCAAAAAAATAAAGAGTATACAAATAATCATGTGGATGTCATGTGGATGAATTCATTCCCTCTAATATTTTGGGCTTTTAAGGCTATGTTGCTGATATTTTTATTTTTCTATTACAATCTGTAAAGTGAATCATACCATCTTTAATAATATATTTGTTGTTCCATATCATAAATATATGTACAAGTAGTAATTTTGATGCTATGATTTTGAGTCTAATGTTGCACTTGATTCATTGATGGCAATGAACATGAAATAGCTTTCACTATTAAAAGCAGGCAGTCTATAATAAAATTAACTACTCAATTCCTACATGAATTAGTGATACCTTTTGCTTTCCAAGGTTTCCTAGTGAAAAATCTACTGTTCATCATGTCACTTGATGTCACTGTGGAAATATGATATAATGAAACAGAAGATTTTAATACCAGACCTCACAGCTGATCCTAGATAACTATGTTCAGATTTTCACAACTATGAAACCCAGGTGACCATATTTCTCAGGGCTATTAGTAGCAGAAAGATAAACATTCTGAGGAGACATGAGTAGTCAGATCATACTAATAATCAAACAATATCTTGCGTAGAGTTCCCCAAATTGTATTCAGACTCTTATCTGTACAAACTGCTTAGTCAGCCTTTCGTTGATACCAGTGGAAAACTAATCATTTCAATTGTTTTTGAGAGCAGTAAATCCAAATGAAACTAGCATTTATTTATACTTTTCTGTAAGAATATTTTAAATATTCAAAACTGTGAGGAAAATACCTGCCCTTGGCAGTGGGATTTTTCCCTCGCTGAACTTGTCTTCATGGTTTGCATTTTTGTCGGTATGCTTACTGTGTTTAAATGTCCTAACTACTCTGTTTACATTTACTGACATAAGCTCTCAAAGGATTCCTTAATCACATTGTCCAGTATCCTCAGTGCCTTACCCAATCATGAAACTCCCCAGAGTTATTTAACAGCTGTGTCTGGCCCTTGTACTTTGACTTCCTCAGGTGTGCACGTTTCAGATGTGTAAAACACTCAGGTTAGCTCTATATAATGAAAACTTTTATGGAGCGTTTTCGTGACCTCAGTAGGTCAACAACTTTCTGTTCCAAGCAAGTGCCAGTTTTTTCTGTGGACTAAAGGGACGAACACAAGAAGAAGAAAATAATGAAACAGCAATACCTGGTACAGCATGACAATATCCCATCACTAATACCAATCTCAATCAAAAGAACAATGGTTAAAAAAATGGGCATAGCTGTACACACCCTTAAATCTAGCATGTGGGAGGTAGAGGCAGGAGATCAAGGTCACCCTTAACTGCAATGTATGTTCCAGGCCAACCTGGTCTCAATAAAAGCAGTGTTGGGCAGACTGATATGGATGGGAGGCATTATCTTATTTAGCTCTCTATAATCCACTCATTCTCCACGAGCTGTCCTATTTCCCTATTCTGGGGCAATACTGAGGCTATGCAATACCCCCTCCACAACAGGCTCCTTAGAGTTGTCTTATCGTGATCAATCAAACTACAACCAAGGAAGCAGTCTTGCACCTCTGTATAGAGCATCTGCTGGTCAAGCCAGCTCCCTATCTTGACTCTTCGTGTTCTTCAGCTTCTGTTTCATCTGTTCTGCACCCCAGCACTTAATCCCTACCCCCGACCCCCAATAGTCTAGTCAAATAGCAGTTTTTCTTTATTTTGACACTTGTGGTAGGGAAGTTTGCCATGTCAGTAGTAGAGCATGTATAAGGCCCAGCGTTCTATCCCCAGGACCAAAACAAATAAGGAAACAACAACCAAGGAACCATAAGATCAGCATTAAAAATCCCAGCCAGAAGACTACTGATGCTTTGACGAAGTCATAGTCTAAAAAATGAAGCTCTTGCTTTTAAACATTTGATATACTTAGGAAAGAAAGTTAAAACTGATTAAACTTAATTCTTGCCTGAAAAGTGCTTTAGGAATAAAAAAATCGGTGAGAGAAAAATATAATTCTATGACAGATATAAAAACAATGTTATGTTTAAGGAGAGGATGTGAGAAAGCCTTTGGGGTGCTATCTACCTCTTGATGTAAGCATCAAAATTCATGGTCATGTTAATCAAGCTGAATGTTATAAAATTTCTAGAAATTGTTAAAAATATATTGTAAAGTGTATTGTTATACAGTCTTAAATAATTCTGGGTCCTTAGTCTTACAAAATATATACTTAGAATTGATATTTAAAATTCTTTCCAGAATATAAGTAACTTAAAATTTTACAGGAAAAACATCAAATTATATTTACAGTATTTGGTTAATGCCATGATACATCAACTTTTACTCTTAAATTAGAAACACTTAGGAAAATGTTCTGTGGTCAAAATATTTTAATCTTCTGCTTTCTTATCTCATCTCAAATTTCAAAAGCAAGTTATTGTTCTAAACAGGAAAAAGCCAGATCTTTGGTATCTGTAGATATCACCATTCCCATGAGTTGACAAACCACACCACAGCTAGGAGCTCATTCTATTTATGTGAAGCAGTTCTTTCTGGTTCTTATGGCCAATAGCAAAGAAATGTGTTAGTTTTGTTTTGTTTCGTTTTTGTTTTTTTAATGCTGAGAACACCCTGAAGGTTTTACCAGATGATACCTGATTTCTTTACAGATATATTCTATAAGTCCATAAGAAAACAGAAATATAGGGGCTGGACAGATGGCTAGGCAGTTAAGAGCACTGGCTGCTCTTACAGAGGACCCAGCTTGGATTCCCAGCACCCACATGGCAACTAACAACAGTCCTTAACTCCAGTTCCAGGTGATTCGACACATAAAAATAAATAAATAAATAAATAGAAATATAATCATTTTACCCAACTAAAAGAATATAACTTAATAAGAGCATATACAATATTTTTATTGTCTAATCATAATATGATTAACACATGACCAAAAAAAAATCTCTTGGGTTTAAAAATAGCTTTATTTAGCATACCCCAAACACAGAAACATAAGAAAACCCTATGTAGTATAAACGTAAAAATAGTTAAATACCATAATTTAATGTAAACCAAGCATTTGAAAATCTGAAATATTATAATAAAATACATGCTATTTACACAGAACCAAGTTAAAGCTACCTGCATAGTTACTGGATCAGATCATCAACCTTGAAGAAGTTATCATTAGCAATGAAAGAAATAGAACATCTCTTCATTTTTATTGGTCAAGAGGAAAAGAAGAAATCATAAATCTACTTTAAACATATACAATTTATTTTGACATTTAGAGCAGGGAAGCAAAAAGTGCCAGTTCAAGGACTCTAGACATAATCACTGCATGTGGAAGTTTGTAAATCATCCCACTGGAAGGACAATGAGAAGATTCTTTTATTTAATACAAACTGGTTATTTGGATTTAGTTACTGCTTAGAAAGTTATTAAGTACATTCTGCAAAAATAAAGCTTTATTTAAAAAGATCAAAGGTGAATGCATTATCAGTCAGGTAAGAAAGGCAAAAGCATAAAAAATATATTATTCCAGATAAGCCCCTTAATTATAATAAATGTTAAGAAACTCAGTTTATAAAAGCAGAAGGGATAGCAAAAGGGATTTTTAAAATATGAAAACTATATTCAAACAAAATAAACAAATGTAAGATAACGTTTCCTGAAGGAAGTAGCATTTTGTTTACTCTCTCATTATCGTGGAAAAGCTGCCATGAAATTTATGGTGATGCAGCTATTCTATGGAGTAGTGTTTTCTTTAACCAACAATCTCAAAGGCTATCATTATTGATCAGACTAAACATTTGGCTTTTGTTTCTAGAATTATCTTTCATTCTTACACTGTGATTCGGGTATCTCTAAGAGGAAACATTAAATCCAGTATTCAGGACCTTATAATTAAAAAATAAAGTTACAAAATACCTAAAGTTATAGATATCTAGTGGTAGCATTTCCTCTTCCTTTGTCTAATCTTGTAGTTCTCAAATTTTTGGTCTCTGGACTTCCTTTAGACTCTTAAAATTTTGGGGAGGGGGGATCTTGAGACCAAATAGCTTTTGTTTATGAAATTTCTATCTGTCCATATTTATCATATTAGAAATGAACTGAAAAATCAAAGTACTGAGTCACCTAAAATTCAAAAAACTTCATTATATGTCAATATAAACAAACGTTATTTTTATGAAAAATAGCAACATTTTCTAAAACAGAAAAAAGATGTGTGGGAAGACGTCATTGTTTTCCATTTAACTCTGTTTTGAGAGAATTAGAGTAAAAAGAAAATGTTTTCAACTATGAGGAAAATATTTTGACTTCACAGATCTGCTGAAAGTCTTAAGGAACTCCAGGGGTCTATTGGCCATAATTTGGAAATTTCTGGTCTCATTTAAAGTCTGATATTAGTGACAAAACATTCCCAATCAAAGGAGCCTTAATTTTCAGTCAAAAACAACTTAGAACTCTACATGTACGCTGGATCAAGTACTCCCACCTTCACAATTTAGAAACTGAAGATCATCATGTACTCATGACAAAATTGAAAGCAATAGTCATTTCTGAGACCATCATCAAGATATAATCTTTGTCTGTGAAACCTATGAAATCTGTTAAATAATCCACACAATTTAATAAGATTTCCAGCATTTCTTTACCCTGTCTGTGTTGCATTGGCAAACATATTTAAATTGGCACGGCTTTGGTACAGTTAAGGAGCAGTTTATACATTCAGATTAGGAATATGTTAGCTATTTACAGAGCAGCCTGCTCTATTTTTCATTATGTGAAAGCTTTGATCAATTTTAGGGAAATAGATGAAGAAATTTCTCCCTGAAGTGCAATAATATTAGGATCTTACACTTGAATAGTTCTTCATATTGTACAAATTACTTGTGCACACATGATTTCATTTGACCTTTTTTTCTTCTTTCTGAGCTGGTTTATTTTGGCTGTTCATTCACAGCCTGTTCCCTCTGTGCCAAGGGAGAAGTAAAACTGCTTCAGTTAAAAAGGATCTGATGGAACTATAAAATGAAATAGTCACAATAATGAGATCTATGTGGAACTATAACTAAATTATGTACCTGCTGCAGCAGATCCTTTGTAATCTTCTTCCATCAACTGAACAACAATACAAAAGTAACAGTTTATAACTGAACTGAAAATTGTGTCCTAATAATCTTGAAGAGAAGATTTCAGCCTATACAAAACAGTAAGAAAATAATTCCAAAGATTTGATTTTAACTAAACTCTTCAGTGCATGAAGAGTCTGTGGTGCAAAGAAAAAAAATTAGTATAAAAGGCTACGAAATAGCATGAAGAAAATAATTATTTCCCCAGAAACTGAGTAAAGGAGGCATTAGTATCTCCTCCCTGTCATTAACACATACATCCAATACATCAATTATTCACTGCCTGGAAATCCTTCCAACCAAGATATTAATGCAAATGGTATGAGACACTCAAAGATGCAAGCTTTGAAGAGGGGGATAGTAGTCAGCCAAGAAAAACCTTAATACAAAATGAGCTAAACATCAAAAATGACCAAAGATTTCCTTGCGATACACTATAACCAAGTTATCATTCATTATATGTACATGCATGCTCTCTCTCTCTCTGACTCTCTCTTTCCCTCCCTCTGAGATGTCTCTAAAATTGTGAATAAGCTCCATGCATTATTTCCTTTCAAGGAAGAAGAAAAAAAGGTTAACAAACATCTGTAATAATTAGAAAACATGCAGGTTGCTGGCTATCTATCATATAAACTGTAGGTATCGCTCCCTTTGTTTTCCAATTTTGGTGAGTATTGATATCTTTCTGGTTGGTTTGGTAGCAGTTAATTCATTTTATGAGAGTTACACACATATTGAATGATGCACACGTGGCTATATGAATATACACACATATGTAAACATGTACATGTGTATGGCATCACAGCACATAAAGACCTCCACTGGCATGTCTTTCCTTCACATATTTCCTCTTCCAAAAAGGAGCATGGATATGATTTTATAATAAGAAACAAAACTAAAAATCAAACGCAGTAAATGTGAAGTGGTATGCTGTCAGAGTCTAATAGAATAAGTCAATGCACATTTATGTAGTGGTAAAGTGCTAGAAAGATCTTTCATTAGTATTTTAAAAATGATTAGAGTAAAAAGAAGCTTGCAGCTTCATTTGATGGTGGTGACCACAGGCACCATAGCAATGGCACTGGCTGAGCTAGAGTTGACTATGTCTTCATATTCCGGTGGTGGGTCTAAATGAGGTTCTGTTTCACTCCTCTGCAGGTTCACTTGGCCAGTGGCTTCCTCATAGGTTGGTGGAGGATCACAATTGGACAGACGAGTGGACACAGAATCTGAGCGCCCAACTACATATTCCAAAAAGCCCGGAGACAATCCACTGTTATCAAAGACTTCATCTGGTGGAGGAGGTGGATTAATAATATTAAGATGCGGAGGGAAAGGAATGTGGCCTTCAGTCACTGTCTGTCTACGGGTTTTGTTTCTTAGAAAGCATCTCCAGATGAGAAAAATGACAAGGAGAATAATGAAGAGGCCAAAGATTAATGGAAAAGTAAGATAAAATTGAAACCAGTCACTTCCTCTGCTCGTCTCTCCTTGCTGTGCTTTTGTGTAGGTGCTCCAAAACTCCTTCTGAAAACACAAAGCAAAATAAATAGGAAATCAGTATGATCAAAACATGGGGAATATGAACGAATATCTGCATTCAAATGTACATGATGAACAAAAGACTGAAATCAGATTTGTTGGTTTAAATGGTGTTTAATCTATATTTTCTATGCCAATAAATTACGAACGCAGAACCTCCTCATTTTATGATGATGTTATGCCTCCAAAACCAATAATCAATTGAAAAACATTAGTTGTATGTATTTAATAAGCCTAACTATTAAGCGTCATAGCTTATGGCCCAGTCCATGGTTGACTAGGAGGTAAATAGGAGCTACAGATCCTTGATGCTGAGCAGTACCCACAAGAACGTCATAGTTTATAGTGCTAGATAAGGAAAAGATCAAAATTTTAAAACTAAACTCTGATATCTAGTGAATGCATATCAATCTCACAACACTGCAAAGTTGAAAAACTATAAATGAAACTACCATTAGTCAGGGATTATCTGTACATCACTGTGTGTTCCTTACAATAGTCAGAACATAAGACTCTCTTAAGAGTTGGGGTGTTTTACATTTTCAGCCGTGACCCTTAAAATGAAAATTAGGGGTGCTAGGGAAATGGCTCAGTGGGTGAAGTGGTTGTTGTATAAGTACCTGTGTTCAATTCCCAGGTGCACCCACACACGAACATGCACACACAGACTATGGACACATTATATACACACAAAATAAAAGTAGCAACCAAGCATTTTCCTCTTTTCAGATAATATCAAATAATTTGCTCTTAGAAATTTAAGTAAAGAGGCTGGGCATGTGGTTCAGGTTTAGAGCACTTGCAATATCTATATGTCCATATGTTCATATGTATGTATGTGTATATATATACCTATCCATGTGTGGACTGTCACTCTCCATATCCAAGTTTGAACTCCCATCATAAGAGCCACATCATGATTAATAGTGTGTCCTAGCTAAAGCTCTTGAAGGCTTTCAGTGTGAAAACACTCATCAGTTGAATATTTTGTTTTCTAATTATTCTGTTTGGGGGACCCTTCTAACAGATATTCCTCCTCAACTCCTTTCCCAAGTTCAATGCTTCATACACAGATGTTGACTAAAGATCAAAGTTATATATTATTTCTAAGAGAGACCTCAGGGTGAATAGAAATGACATCATTGTACTTTGGAACCTGGACTTTAATTCCAAATGAAAAGTGATCTATTACTTCAAGTTTTAAGGTTTGTGGAACAAATATTTATAAGACACAAAGGAAACCTTATGCAATTACTAGTTACCACATTTTGGCAAGTTACTCTTTAATCCATAATGTATTTACTCGTAAAAGGGGGCAACAGAAATATGACTTATAGATTATCTGAACATTAAATGGGATACAGCATGTCTAATTACGTCTCTAGCATATAAGTAAATAGCAATAAACAGCAATGATTATAACTAATATTTAATATTATACCTAAGCCTTTGCTTCAAAATGACAGATTAGGGGTTGGGGATTTAGCTCAGTGGTAGAGCACTTGCCTAGCAAGCTCAAGACCCTGGGTTCAGTCCTCAGCTCCGAAAAAAAAAAAAAAGAACAAAATAACAAAATGACAGATTAGTGTACTGCATACCATGATACAAAGACCACGCTTAATGTTACTGAATTCTTCCCTTCTCCCAATTCCTTTTCTTTCTCCCTTCCTCCTCTTTCTCTTCCTTTCTTTCTTTTCCTCCCCCGTCCTCCATCCCTCCCCCCTCCCTCCCTCCCTCCCTGTCACATGATTTGCTTGTTTGCTTTAGTCACTGAGAACAAATTTCCAAGAGAAACAATTTAAAAGAAGAAAAGATTTATTTTTGTTTGTGGTATCAGAGACATCAGTGCATGATCACAAGCTCCATTGCTTCTGAGCCTGTAGTGAAGCAGAGCACCATGGCAAAGGACATGATGCTACAGGCCTTCTCAATCCGTGATAGCCAAGAAGCAGAAATGGACTGAGGAAGGAGCCCAGCACAATATATTACCTCCAAGAACATGCCCCCATTGACCTACTTCCTCCGATTACGCTCACCTCCTAAAGGTTCTACTACCTTCCAATAATGTCATCAAAATATGAGTCCATCAATGGATTAATGTGTTGATTGGGCCACAGCCCTGATGAGCCAATCACAATTTAAAATTTCTTAATTTGATTATTTAATTATTGTGCGTGTGTGTGTGCATGAGTGTGTGTTCATGCACACCCACATATTTGTGCCACAGCATGTATGTGGAGGTCAGAGGACAACTTGTAGGAATCATTTCTCCCCTTCTACCATGTGGATTCAGGGAACTGAATTCAGGTCATCAGGCTTGAAAAGCACCTTTATTTATCCACTGAGCCATCTCCCAAATCACTTCTTTATTAAAAAAAAAAAGAATTATTTGGGGGCTGGAGAGATGACTCCAGTTTCAGGGGATCTGATGCCATCTTCTGAACTCCATGGGCACTGCACAACATGGGTGCACTTACACATGTGCAGGCAATACACTCATATACATAAAATAAAAATAATAAAATACTTTACAAAATTATTTCTGTCTGATATTTTGGTCATTTCCATGAAAAGTAACTCATATAAGTAGCCAAGTATCTACCATGCTTCTCATCACTGGAGATGTGCTATCAAGTCAGTATCTCTCTAGATTAAATTCATGCTGTACACTGCTTTCCTTTCTTCCAGAGGGCCTCAGTGTTAAAGAAAGCACTGAAAAAAATAGATGTATGCAAATTAGAGGCATAAAGACAGTTGAAAATTGAGAAATCTTTGGCAGCTTGATGTAAATTTAGAGACTGCTACTAGCTAGTGTAAAACAATATCAGCAAATATTTCTTGTTAAAACCGAGATAGAAAATGTTTTAAACTTTGTAGTACACAAGGTATCTGTCTTACCTACTGACTTTACCTTTGCTGCAGGAACACGGTGACATCTAATATGTTAACAAATGGCTATGCATCTGTTCTCATAAACTTTTATTTATGAGAACAGATGGACTAGACTTGGCTTCTAGGCCATATTTTTTCAGCTCATGTTCATGATAAAACAAACAGCTTGGCATACCATTTATAAAACAAAATAATTAAAAGTGTGTGGGTATTTGTGTACATGTATGAAAAATAAATGGAAAACAGAGATATTCTAGTTTTCTAGGATATTTGACAATTCAATTATTTTGTTAAAGTAAAATTTTAGTGCAGTATTGCATGAGGCCATGACTGCATAAATTATTTAAGCACTATTATTTTTCAGCATCCTGGGCTACCTTAAGTTACAGTCATGGTTGGCCACCAGGGTGATAAAGAGTGCTTCACAAACATAAGGCATACAATCATCATTTTGGATTTGATAAGATGTAGATTCCGATTAAGGAGATCTGGAGTAGAGCTTGAGAATTTGCAGTGTTAACTGTTAAGACAGACGGGTACTGCTGGGCCACAGACCCTGGATCATATGATGTAAGCACTGGTTTTTGATGACTTCCAACCATGTGCGGCACAGGCGATGATATTTACAAAACTTTTCAGGTGATTCATGTGTGCAGAACAGCTTGAGGAGCTCTATGCCAAAGATTATGGTGAGTTATCAGTTTAGTTATGACATCAGTCACTCCAATGTGATCTCTTTTCCTTATTCACTGACTGTCTACTCCTGTCCCTGGGGACCAAAATTAACACTGCGACCTTTTGCTCCTCTTCAATTCTGAGAAGTGAGAGGGAGTTCAGGATGGAACCAGAGGCTCAAATGTCTGGAGTTTAGGAAGAATATGCACTAAGAATTCCAGAGGTTATTTTAAAGATGAGCAAGTGGGGACAGAATAGGGCAGATGACCACTCAAAGCTATCATGGCAAAATATGCCTGCAGTCTTGGCCCCAGGTTTGGGAGGGTAAATTTAACCTTCCTTGGTCCCTGGCACCTGAAAAGAAAAGCAAGAATTAAAGATTGCCCCTTTTAAGTACGAAGGGTGAGGTATAAGGCAGTTAGTAGCAATGCAAGCGGGAACTCCAGTGGTAAAGTAGAGATGTGTGCTCTTTTCCCTATAGCATAGATATCAGAAGGGAATCTAGAAGCCTGGAAGTGAGTGTAGTTGACACCGGCAGTAACAATGATGGAGAGTTAAAACAGAGAACAGTGTGCCATGTAGTCTTATAGGTGATTTATGTATATTAACTCATTCAATCTCAATAATGAAAAGGGATTAATGCTTTTATTATCCTCATCTTACATATGAAGAAAACGAAGGGAGACATTTGAAAGAGCTTACTAAGACCACTGAAGATAAGTGGTTAAAGTGAGATCTTCATCCAGCAATCTGTGGTTAGAAGATCACAATAGTGGGGCTGGAGAGATGGCTCAGTGGTTAAGAGCACTGGTTGCTCTTGCAGAGGACCTGGGTTCGATTCACAGCACCCACATAGCAGCTAACAACTGCTTGCAACTCCAGTTCGAGGGGATCTGACGCCCTTTTCTGAACTCTGCTGGCATTGCATGACACAGGTGTACTTACATACATGCAAGCATGCGCTCCTACATATAAAATAAAAATAATAAATAAAATTTTAAAAAGATCACAATAGTAAACTTCCCCTCTAAAACACAGAAGCAAGATGGATTCACAATGAAGTGAGAGTTTTTAATACAAATTGATAATCATTTTTCCTCATATGTAGGAAACAGCAGCATAGTAACATACGTGTATGGAGAGGGAGGAAGGAGAGAGAGAGAGAGAGAGAGAGAGAGAGAGAGAGAGAGATTGATTTGAAAGTTGTTCTCAGCCTTATGTATTGGAGGCCTGGTTGACACCTGAAGGGCTTCTAGGATGTGAATGGATGCCAAGGGATTTGGCCTAACAAGAGGTTTGATTTAAACTATAATGGCATTATTGGGAGGTGGTGAAAGGTAGGAGGTCATGCCCAGGCTGGAGGAAGTATGTCATTAGTGGTGTGTCCAAGATATATTTATTTTTCTCCCAGTCCTTTC